GATGTCCGTCTAGGTCAGCACAGCCCAATCAACATATGCTGCAAGCCGTATCATGTAAAATGTTCTAGTAACTGTGACTGCATTAACAAAAGTAAAGAAGCAGGTGAAATTTTAAATATACGTTTAACCTATAGTTCTAAATTATTTCAACAAGTGATCAACACAAACTTTTTTTTTTTTTTTTTTTTGCATTAAGGCTGCAAAATCACTTTCAGCACATCTCAATTTTCCCTAGTCACATTCCAACTCCAACTGCTCGATAGCCGGGTGACTCCTACTGTGATGGACAACCCAGCTGTAGATCTTCGGCAGAAGCTATACTTTCAAATCAAACGTGCCCAAACCAGGACTCTGAAACCCTCCACTAACAACTTCAATCTCCATGTAGCTATCTACATCTGTGTCAAACTGCTTCTTTAAAGGGCAAAGAGAGGTGCTTGGGAGGTACACGGATCTGTATTCGCATCCTCTAACACTTACTGGCTGTGTGAGCTTCAGCAATTAAAAAAAAAAAGGCACAGGAAGTTAAAGATTTTGTTTATTTATTCATGAGAGACAGGGAGAGAGGCAGAGACACAGGCAGAGGGAGAAGCAGGCTCCATGCAGGGAGCCCGATGTGGGACTCGATCCGGATCCCGGGTCTCCAGGATCACGTCCTGGGCCAGAGGCAGGTGCTTAACTGCTGAGCCACACAGGGATCCCCGCCCCCCCCCCCCCCCCCGTGCCTTATTTGACCTGTTTTGTAAACTCAAGGGTAACAATACCTACTCAGGAGTTGTTGAGATTGAAGTGATGTATTAAAACCTGTAAGGTGGAAAGCACTTGCTAATAGATTTTTATTATCTACTCCTTGCCCTTTGCAACCTTCTTTATTCAGATAAAGGTTAGACTTAGCAGGATGGAAGATTCTTAAAACTGAGATGGCAGAAAAATCTCATGTTAAATGGTCCTAAAACTAGAAAAAGAAATACTTGTTCACTGTTGGGAATGTAGACTGGTGCAGTCACTCTGGGAAAACAGAATGGAGGCTCCTCAAAAAGTTACAAATAGAACTACCCTACCCTCCAGTACTTGTACTACTGGGTATTTACCCCAAAAATACCAAAACACGAATTCAAAGGGGTATGTGTACCCCTATATTTGTAGCAGCAGGATTCACAATAGCCAAGATAGGGGAGCAGCCAAGTGTCCACTGACTGAGGATTGGATAAAGAAAATATGATGTGTGTATATACATATACATATATGTATATACACACACACCAGAATATTTATTATTTAGCCATAAAAAAATGAAATCGTGCCATTTACAACAATATGGATAGAGCTTGAGTGTGATGGTAAGCAAGATGTCAGTTGGAGAAACACAAGTACCTTATGGTTTCACTCATATGTGGAGTTTAAGAAACAAAGGAAAAAGAGAAACAAGATCAAGAAATGGACTCATAGAAATCTGAGAGTTACCAGAGGGGAGGGGAGGGGAGGGGAGGGCAGGATAGGTGAGAAGGGGTGATGGGGATTAAGAGGGGCACTTGTGATGAGCGTTGGGTGTTGTTTAGAACTGCTGAAAACTAGTATTACACTGTATGTTAACTAACTGGAATTAAAAAGCTAAAAAAAAAGTGGTGGCAAAAAGAAAAATATAAAATTTTGGGGGGTGTGAAGAGGCTTGTTGGGGATCCACAATAAATACTTTTGTCCTTTAAAGGGGGCTACCTAGGGATGCCTGGATGGCTCAGGGGTTGAGTGTCTGCCTTCCGCCCAGGGCACGATCTTGGAGACCCGGGATCCAGTCCTGCATCAGGCTCCCTGCAGGGAGCCTGCTTCTCCCTCTGCCTGTGTCTCGGCCTCTCTGTCTCTCATGAATAAATAAAATCTTTAAAAATAAAATAAAGGGGGCGACCTACTGGCAGGCAATGAATGGCACACAATTTTGCTTGCTTCCCACGGCTTTCACTCAGCAAATATTCATTTAACAAACATATAAATTACTGAATATGGGCCAACATTGTGCTAGACAGAGGGGGTTAGGAGTGGGGGGAAAAAAGGGATGGTGGTGGTGGTATATTCACTTAACTAAATGGAGGAATGAGTAAACCACTGAATATTGTCCCCTTTCTAGTTTTTCTCAATTTGGTGGTCAGTTTTTTGAGTTGCTTCTCTTGTTTCACCTAGGATTTGGCTAGGTTATTAGATAACAGGGTTTCCTCCAAAAGGTTCAAATGAAATATGATCAGTATACTATGGATGAATCCGGGTGAAGCGTATATGTGGGCTCAACTTTTGTGTAGGTTTCAAGCATTTCGAAATAAAAAATTGAAAAAAAACCCACCAATTATAATGGAAGGTAATCATCACAACTTGTATTAAAACATTTAATTAGGGATCCCTGGGTGGCGCAGCGGTTTAGCGCCTGCCTTTGGCCCAGGGCGCGATCCTGGAGACCCGGGATCGAATCCCACGTCGGGCTCCCGGTGCATGGAGCCTGCTTCTCCCTCTGCCTGTGTCTCTGCCTCTCTCTCTCTCTCTCTCTCTCTCTCTCTCTCTCTCTCTCTCTCTCGTGTGTGTGACTATCATAAATAAATAAAAATAAAAAAAATCTTTAAAAAAAACAAAAAAAATTTAATTATAATGGAAGATAATCATCACAACTTGTATCATGATTTGTAACAGATCAGAGCTACCTAGATGCCCCAAAAAAGGTGAATGACTAAGACCATTCACATAGCCAAGAGGATAAAACACTATATAGCAGGCAACCAATTTACATCTGCAGACTTTGTCAGTTTGCAGAAATATGGAATGAAATTGTGTGAATTGAGGAGAAAGGCAGACTAGGATCCATGATTACAGCAACAAAAATACAGGTGATGTGCATTTACAAAACCTAAGAATATATTTGGCCAGATAGGAATATTACTCTCTTCTAGGTACATTGCCCATGTTCATAATAAAAATAAATAACATGTATGGTAAAAGCTGTTTGCCAAGCAAATGTATCCCACACCAGAGGGTGGGACGGCCAGGGAAAACTGCCTATCTAGTGAAAAGGGTGTCAACAATTGAGCACTGATTTTCAATGGTCATAATATCACACATGCAGTGACACAGTGTACAGTTTAACACCCACCTCTTGGAACCTTTTTCCTAATCAGAGGAATTATTCAGAACAATATTCAACACAGCCATTTGACTACTGGCATCAGATTTTATTTTTCCATGATAGTTTCTCAGTCCTTTAACCACAAGAGTACAGACATACAAAGTGTGGGGGGAGGCTAAGGGCTCTCACTGTTACTGTGGTCTGATATCATGCAAGATGGATCGGTTCACATTAGGAAAGAGATTCCCCAATTGCCAAAACTTGCCAGATCGCTCAGTACTTAAAATTAGCAACACCCTCATCATCTTGTGGTTTAAATGATGACTGAACAATAACTCAAGATAGTTGTGTTCCATATTTGCTTTATTAAGATAATTAGTATTCTTAGATCTTTTAAAATTGCTCTTCTTTAGCCCTAGGGGGAAAGGATTTCAAAAGGCTGAGTACATATGCTGATTCAAGACACGATTTCTCACACACCCAACCTCTGTAATTTGGATTATTAGAGCAATATAGAGTAATTCTGACACCAACTCTCTGGCAACGTTGTTTGAAAAAGATACCATCACACACATGACCCAGCGTTTTTTATTTTGTACTGCATGTAAGTTTGTGTAATAGGTCTTCTTTAATATAAAAACCAGGACTTTAATTTTTTTTAAATGACTGAGAATATGGTAATTAAGAGACACTCCTTGCATCAAAGACTCAGAGCTAAAACCTAGATGTAGAGTTTGAACGCACCTTATTAAGAGATGCATAAACTTGACCAAACTTTTGATTTAAGCATCAGGTAATCCCTTTAAAGGTACCAACATAAAAACATTAAGAATGTTTTGATAAACTATTTGCCGCATCCTCGAGTATCTTTGCCTTTAAGTAGAGTGATCTGAATGCCAGTCCTGGTTATAAAATCTACCATCTGGTGATCTGGAGTAAAACATTTAGTATCTCTCTGATTCAAATTCTTGTCTATAAAAACGAAACAACGTATAGTCATTTATACTTAATATATAGTTTCTAAAACAACGAAGCAATTAAATGATAAATGTGAAAATGCTCTTCCCAGTCATTGCTGGCATCCATTTATTATCAGGCAATCGTCCTATTCAAATGGGTGATTCTAAAACAGCCAGTAATCATGATCAGAGCCACTCTTTTGCATAACTTTAAGAGGGCTAATTACACAGGACACAAATCTTACCAATGATACTATTTAACGTTAAAGGAAACTTATAGAAATGATGGGTTTTTCTTAAAGATTTTATTTATGCATGAGAGAGAGAGAGGCAGAGGGAGGCAGAGAGAGAGAGACACACAGAGAGAGAGACAGAGAGAGAGGCAGAGACCCAGGCTCTATGCAGGGAGCCGGATGCAGGACTCGATCCCAGGACTCCGGGGTCACGTCCTGGGCCAAAGGCAGGCGCTCAACCGCAGAGCCACCCAGGAATCCCCAGAAATGATGGTTTTGGCATCACTGTAAGTCCTGGGGCTAATTGCACACGACGGAAACCTCACCGCCAGAACGGAATCACTGCAGCTTACGGGAGACGTGAAAACCAAGTAAGCGAACGGTGCAAGCCACAGGTAAGGAAGCCAACAAGAAGGCAGCGCAAGGCGACAGCCCCCCGGACGCTGTCCGGACACAAAGTTCATCCACCAAGAAAAGCTAAAGGGCGCCCCTCGGGCAACCGGCGCCAGCCCGAAGGAAGGGCGTCCCTAACACGGGGCTCGGTGACCGCGAAGGGCAGCGGAGGCGCTTGGTGTCCGTCAGGTCCTCCTCCTGCTCCCCACAGTGACGGCAGGACGCGCGGCACCGGGGCCACCACGCCGGCACCGGGCGCCCTGGGGGCCGCAGGGCGGGGACGCGGCGCGGAGCGGCCGGGACGCGCCCTACCTTGCACCGACTTCCCGATGCTGTGTAAGCGGGTGATGGAGCTGTAGTTCCGGGCCACGGTCTTCAGGAACGCTTCCATCTGCTCCTGGTGGTGGTAGGCGAACTCCAGCGCGGCCGCCGCGGGCAGCAGCAGCCCCAGGCACAGGCGCGCGACCTGCATGCTCTGCGGGGACACGAGCGCGGCTGAGCGAGCTTGGACGTCCAGTCTCTCGGCCGCCCGTTACTCGGGCCGTTCTATGGCGCGTTATCGGCCTGTCTATCGGGGTTATTGGGGTTATTGTTTTACTTTGTTAATTTTTAATATAAATAAATACTACTAATTATAAACTATTAATAACTTTTTATTTATTTCAATTTATACTATTTTACAATAAAAAATCTACCTACTCACGCTCTCTCACACACAACCATAAAAATTTTCTATATTTTTACTTTTAATAAAAAAAAAAAAAAAAAAAAAAAAAACAACAAAAAATAAAAAAACAAAAAAAAAAAAAATAATATAAAAAAAAAAAAAAAAATAAAAAAAAAAAAAAACAAAAAAAAAAAAAAAAAAAAAAAAAAAAAAAAAAAAAAAAAAAAAAAAAAAAAAAAAAAAAAAAAAAAACACAAAAAAACAAAAAAAAAAAAAAAAAACAAAAAAAAAAAAAAAAAAAAAAAAAAAAAAAACACAAAAAAAAAAAAAAACAAAAAAAAAAAAAAAAAACAAAAAAAAAAAAAAAAAAAAAAAAAAAAAAAACAAAAAAAACCCCCCCCCCCCCCCCCCCCCCCCCCCCCCCCCTTATTTTTATTTTTTTTTTTTTTTTTTTTTTTTTTTTTTTTTTTTTTTTAATTATTTTTTTATTTTTTTTTTTTTTATTTATATATATTATTTTTTTTTTCCCCTTTTTTTTTTCCCCCCCCCCCCCCCCCCCCCCCCCCCCAATTTTTTTTTGCTTTTTCCCCCCCCCCCCCCCTTGGGGGTCCCTGGTGGGGAAATGGGGGGCGGGGGGGGGGGGGGGGGGGGGTGGGGGGGGCCCCCCCCCCCCCGGGGGGGGGGGGGGACCCCCGGCGGCTGCAGCGGGCACCCCCGCTCGGCGCGCCCAGCTCACCCCTGCCCGGTGCGCACCGCCGCCCGCCGCCTGCCGCCCCGGGGACCCGACATTTAGCCACGCGGGGGACGGCCGCTCCCGGGCGCCGCCCCGCCCCCGCCCCCGCCCCTGACGGACGTCCCGCCCGCCCAGTCGGGCGCCCGCGGATCCCCGGGGCGGGGCGGCCCTGCGCCCCTGCGCCCCTGCGCCCTTCGCACCTGGGCGATCCCGGCCCGCGGCGGCGGGGACCCGGGGGGCGGCGGGGAGCGGGGATGGGTGGGGGTCCGGGGGCGGCGGGGAGGGGGTGGGGGTGGCGGTCCCGGGGGTGGCGGCGGAAGACTGTCACGTCCCCAGGTTTTGCGGGCGCCAGGGTTGGAAGAGTGTCCTCCCCGCGACCGGGGCTCCTGGCGGGGGGCGCGGGCTTTGGGTGTCGCCAGCTGCTGGGAGTTTGCAGCCGTAGAGCTGAGTCCCGGCTCACCTGGCGCCCCGGACGCGGGGAGAGCCCCACCTGGCCTCACGGGCCCTGAGCCCTGACTCACCTGGTGCCCCGGACGCGGGGAGAGCCCCTACCTGCCCTCACGGGCTCCTGAGTCCTTGGCTTCCTGGAGCCCGGGATGCGGGGAGAGCCCCACCTGGCCCCACGAGCCCTGAGCCCTGGCTCACCTGGCGCCCAGACGCGGGGAGAGCCCCTACCTGCCCTCACGGGCTCCTGAGCCCTGGCTCACCTGGCACCCAGGATGCGGGGAGAGCCCCACCTGCCCTCACGGGCCCCTGCGGCGGAGCTTAGGGCCCGCGCTCCCACTTGCGCCAGGCTGCCCAGCCCTGCGCTGGGATTCAGGAGAGAAGAACGCACGGGTGTCGAAGTTTTAAATTGCCAATTGTGGAGTACAGGAAAATTTCTGACAAATTTATTTGGCGGATGAGATTGATTAAATCAGTTAAATTTAACACTAGAAATCACATGGAAGAAAGCAAAGCTGCGATTTTTAAGTCCAACACTCCCTCCGCCAATCCTCCCTAGGCCAATTTCTTCCTTTCCTAAATGCTGCTTTCTGGGAGGACTGCGTGGTCTACGTTTGCACTAGGGGTAACAAAGGTTGCACCCCAACCCGAGAGGCGGTCTGTGGTGAGGGCAAAGACCTCAGGCACCTGTCACACATTACCTGTCAGTAATTGGAGGTTCATGCCAAGGGTGCAGCAAGTCTAAAAAGCTTGAAAAGCACTGATTTGGGATAACGTTCCTCTTCAACTGGTTAAAAATAGTAGTGTCCCACTGAAAACTAATTGAACAGAATTTCTCCCGATGAGGTCCTGGAAAGGACATTATTTAAAAAGTGCCTTGAGTGAATCAAACATGCCCTCAGGAGCTGAAACCCGCGACCGATTTGCCTGCCTCTTCTTTGTTGCGGATACAGACACTATTGTAGAATTGAGCTCCTGGGAACAATGAGGCCTCCTGTGATTCCCAGGCAGCAGAGCCTGGATGGATAAACCCCAAGACTAGCGGTACCCGATTTGGGTGCTAATCCATGCTCTGACTCTCAGTGGTTGTGTCAACTCGCTGTGCCGTCCTTTCCTGGTCCTTAAAATGGAAATGATTACACCTGCCTAACTAAAGTTGTAAGGACTGTGCGCGGTGGTGTACTAATACTCTAGTTTCATTCACAAGCCTTTCGGCAGACTTCTAAGAGTCGGGGTTAACAGGACGTTGGGGTTTTGAGCAGCTTTTTAGAAAGTATGCAGCAGTGACTGTGCTAAATGTGGCTTGTACTAGATGGCTCGAAGAGGGTCTTTCACTGTTGTTCATCGACTCAGAGGCCTCCAAGCAGACAGAATGGGGTTGAGGAGGTCACATTTAGGCAAAGTTACTATAATAATGGGAAAGGATGCTGACAAGGAACAAAGGGAAAGCTTGCAGATCTGACTTCAGAAATGATACATTTGTTATAGAAGAAAGTAGCAGCTCTAGGGTTTACTTCAGTGGTGCTGGAGACTGGAGAAATGGTGGCTTTGTCAGTCCTGGGTGGACACCGCAAGGGTTGTCCCAGAAAAACAAAGGGGTGAAGTATAATTGAAATTACATTGAGGTTCATAGTAGGTAGGGAGGGAAGCAAATCTAGAGGAGAGCTGACCAGAGAATGGAGGTAGAGTACAGAGGATTGAGGGCTGAAGGTCTAAAACCTAGGGACTCCAAGTGTGGTCCAGGAACAGCACTGGCATCGCTGGTCAGCCCCTTGGAAAGGCAGGATCCCTTGGCCCACTACAAATCTACTGAATCAGAACGTGAATTTTAGTACGATTCCAATTAATTCATATGCATATTTGAATTTGATTTGCACTGGTTTAGAGGTTGCAAAGGCTTAAGGTGTGATGAGAAAGAAGGAAAAATAGGTTGGTCTGATACAGTAAAACACTAAAACATAAGATGTCAAAGGTGATCTTTCTAAATACAACACCACTAACAGTAAAACCCCAATAAAGAGGCTGATAAAAAAAAAAGAGCCGATAATTCGACAACAGAAAAATGTTTACCTTCTGTAAAGGAAAACTCAGCATCAATGTTGACCAGAGAAATTACAAACTGGAAGAAAGAATTATTAGCTCTTACAAAATCAAGAATGGGGGATCCCTGGGTGGCGCAGCGGTTTGGCGCCTGCCTTTGGCCCAGGGCACGATCCTGGAGACCCGGGATCGAATCCCACATCAGGCTCCCGGTGCATGGAGCCTGCTTCTCCCTCTGCCTGTGTCTCTGCCTCTCTCTCTCTCTCTCTCTCTCTCTGTGACTATCATAAATAAATAAAAAAAATTAAAAATAAATAAATAAATAAATAAAAAATCAAGAATGGACAAAAGACATTAATTGGCAGCTCACAGAAGTTGTACTACAAATGAGCAATAAACATAGCAAAAGCTACCAACTGGTTAGCAATCAAAGAATTCATAAGTTTATTTTTTTTGAATTCTTAAGTTTAAAGGGCAAAGTAGTATTATGTTTTGCTTTCCATTAAGAAAGATGTAAAAGATGGAGAGCACTTGGACAAGATCTGAGGAAATGGCATTTCTGCTGTTTAAATGATACTGTGACTTGAGACAACACTTCTGGAGGCTATCTGGGAATAGGTCTAAACATTTAAAATATATTCTTTTCTAGGAATTTAAGCTATGCAGGTAATTCAAAGAAGTGCTGAGTTTATGTGTTAGGATCTTTATTAATACCACTGGTTTTGTTTTTTTTTTAAGATTTTATTTATTTGAGAGAGTGAGCGAGAGAGCAGAGCACAAGTGGGGGGAGGGGCAGAGGGAGAGGGAAGAGCAGACTCCCCAACTCCCTATGGGGCCCAACATGGGGCTCGAGTCCAGGACCCTGGGATCATGACCTGAGCCGAAGGCAGATGCTTAACTGACTGAGCCACCCAGGCGCCCTTAACAGCATTGTTTTTATTTGTAAAAAAAAAATAGATAAATGTAAATGTCGAATAATAGCAGATTGATTGTATCAGTGGTTCTCAACTGGAGCAAGATTGCCCACAGAAGACATTTGGAATAGCTGGAAATGTTTTTAAAAAAGATTTTATTTATTTATTTATTTATTTATTTATTTATTTATTTATTTATGGAGTGGGTATGCACAGGCTTGCAGGCATGGGGGGTGGGGAAGGGCAGAGGGGAAGCGATGGGGGGTGGGGAGGAAGAAGGACAGACTATTGCACTGAACACAGCATGATATAGAGCTGGATCTCAGGGATCCTGAGATCATGACCTTAGCCGAAATCAAGAGTCTGAGATGCTTAACTGACTGAGTCATCCAGGTGCCCCTAGCTGGAAATATTTTTGGTTGTCAGGACTAGGGGGATGGTGCTACTGGCATGTAACCTGTAAATGGCAGGGATGCTGCAAAACATCCTACCATGTACAGTACAGGCTCCATAATAAATTGTCCAGCCTCAAATATTAGTGCTGAGGTTGAGACATCCTGGGTTAAATAAAGAATATTACATCCATAAAATAAATTATTTTTCAGCCATAATAATGATGATGCGGATCTGTATTTATGGGTTGGAAACGTAAATCATCGAGTGGCAGAAACAAGATGATAAAAGTAAAAAGAATAAAAGTAAAATTTCCATTTTGGAAAGTAAACAAAAAACTCTTCCTGACAACAAGTTTAAAAGGTTGCAAAAATGCTGGGTGGTATGCCCCGGATTGCAGTGTTTTGATTCTCTCCTTTGAAACCTTCTGTATTTTCTGAAGAAATTTTACAGCAAATGTGTTTCTTCTTTTAATCGGAAAAACAAGGCATTTTCACCTAAAAGCAGAACAAAGCAAAAAGCACAGAAACATCGGAGATGGACAGTTATGAATGAACACTGGGTCTAAAATTCTTTGTGCTGAATTGCAGAAGTGAAGAAGAATGAAGTGAATTATAGAACTGAAGAAGGCCACTGGAAATGGGACATGAAAGGACTGAAAAGTGAGAGTGGGAGATCAATCCTACTCAAAGACGCCGAAGGTCCCTGAGTAAGTGGCAGCAACTGGAACAGAGGGAAAGACTATAGCTATGGGCTACATACCTCAACAGAGGTCAACAAGAATGAGAAGTGTAACTAGACTTTGTGATCCTTAAGCTTTCTTTTTTCTTCTTCCAAAAGTGTCACAAAATATGAACAACATAAAAGAAATTTCAGCAACCTACAAATTCCACTTCCCCAGAAAAAAACCATTCTTAAACCAAATTTAGGTATCAATCAGTCCTCTAATGTCGCATAGTTGTTTCTATCTCGCTTTTATATACAGCACACCCATGATCACTCTTAGAGCTAAATCTTTGGGCACATCCTATCTTCTTAGGATCAATACTTAGATAAGCAATTGCTAGGTAAAAGAGCATGTGTGTTTTTAAGATTTTTAAATATTTGACCAAGTTGTACTCCTATAAAATGTCAAAAGTGTAATTTCAAAATGTTAAAAAAGAATTCTCATACAAATACAGTTAAACACAGGTGGGGTTTTTATTTTAACTCACTATCAAGAAAATTAGCAGTAAACAAATCTCATTTAAAGAAAGATAAGAGAAAGAGTGTGTATACATCAGTATGA